AAGCCGTAACTGTCCAAAATTGCTTTTCACCACAGCTATGGGTCATGACAAGTTGTTTGAACTTCCTACATTGGTTCCCTTGTGAGTGATGCAGCCTCTACAAAGCCGTGAAACTCGTTCACTAGGGGGTTTGGCATTCACACGATACAATCTCTGGTCCTTTATTGTGTCCTATCCAGGACGTTTTCCTCCTTTATAACGGCAGGTATGGTATAAGGGGGACTGTCGAATTCACGTAATGGGCAAATCTCAGAAGCCATTTTTATCGTGACTGCGCCTTCAGGCTTGATCCACCGGAAGCTGACAAGCATCGTGGCATCGTGACAGTCATGTTTCTTCCGCAAATGACACCCTCTCCTGTGCAGGAAATTGCGAAAAATGCCTTTCACATACGTCATGAAAATGAATCATCCTGAATTCTTAAGTTTGAGACCATGTTCGTCTAATACTCCAAAAAAGTTTAATTAGCACGAAACTACCACAAGTCGAGGTCGAAGTAAGCCGGTGCCGGGTCCTTGAGAGCGGGGACCACATTAATTCGAGGGTATCTAGTTTTAAACGGATATTGGAGGCGATGGTCCGAAATGGTGCAAAAGTGGCTATGAAAAGACGAAAGGCGTATTCGGAATAACACAATGCCTTAAAAAAAGTAGTGAAGTTAGCGGTTGGACGAGAATGTGACGACTGTTGGAAGCGTAGTCGTACGAGCGGTCCAGATGTGCGCGTCATTGGGTACAGCTGGCTACTGTAAGCTAACTGCGTGCAAGGTGTGCGTCCCGGGGCGAGTGATGCAGTCTCTTCAGCCTTTTAAACTCCCCTAGAACTCGTCCGCCCTGTGTGCGTGTAGGATAAGCCGGATTGGGGGCCTTTTTTACACCCTATCTGAGCCATTTTTCGATCCGGCCGTGTCCCTGGTGTTATCCTTGAGGGTCACAGGATCTCTTCAGGGGAGAATATCAAAAACCATTTTTATCGTGCTTTCACGCATGTACGAATCCTTCTATAATACGTTGACCCAATGTGGCTGCATTGATGTCAAGCTCAAAAATGTGCTCACTCGGGATCGTGCCTTCACTTACAAAACAGACTGTCTTTTGAGGCAAATGGTGGCGAAAACAAACATTTGGACAAATCACTGCATGCATTCTATCGCATGGGCCATCCCGTCAACTCCATATCTGTGAATTTCGCTAAAAGTTAAAATATGTGGCGCGTCCTACATGGTTGATCAATGTTCCGAAGTTTAAAACTGTGATGCTTATCATTATCACCTGGAAAGTGTCTGGTTAGGGCTGAACTTCGTTTTATCGATGACATAGCCAGAATGCCAGATTTTTCGTGGGAATCCGTCACACAGCACAATCGATTCAGCATTTCTGTTTGCAAAATTTTGCCCTTAAGTTGCACTTCCTCGTAGAATTTTTTTCCACAAGAAGGGCATGCCAAAATGGTTGGCTTATCCCCCTTCCGCAACCCTTATCTGCGATTTCCATCAGCACTGGTTATTACCATGCATATCTGTCAGGTAATGAGTGGCAAGTAGCCAACTATCACACACGCATGATGACAGGTTCGAATCCCGGCTTAGGCCAACCAAGCCTTCCATCCCTCCGGGGTCGGTTAATTCTTACCAGACTCGTCTGGGAAGATAGAAGCACTGACTCGTCAACCTTGGCCACCGCAATTCATTGTATAGGAGATATACGCATCCACTGCTGTTCCAAATGGGAGTCGAATGTGGGGGCGACCTTCAGACGGGAATGATTAACGCTCGAAAAACTCATTCTTCATCTGCCAACTGTTATCTGCTTTTTTTGCTGCTCAATAACTCTCCGAGACAGACTAAGTCGAAAAAAACCCACTTTTAATACACATGGGTAACGAGTGGCATTGTTTCACAACCTTTTTTATCGGACCTTATCAGTCGATATGATTCTGGTCATCAATCAGCGCCTATCCATTCACCTGTGGTCCGAATCTGAATGTCCTGAATTCGTCGCAAAAATCTCTTCTTTTCCCGATTGAACGCCCACACCTGCATACATGCTGCCCCTGACACAATCAGCTTATCACTTATAGTCAATTAATTACTATAAAGATAAAAATTTGGCGTTAATCAATCCCGTCTGAGGGATGCGCCCCCGCACTCGACTTCCATTCAGATTCGTGGTGGCGTAATGAGTGCNGCAAATCAACTTGCTTTTTTCACTACCGATGAACTATTTCCAACCTATATTTTCGCTTTCTGACTTAAAATGAGCACCTCAAAATTATCGTGAATTGTGCCTTCGAGTAGAAGGCACTGGCAACTTCGAACTGCAACTACAGAGCCNTGGCCTATTCAATGACTTGCGGTGGCCACGATGTGCAAGTCAGTGCTTTATCACCCAAAAGAGTCTGGTACCAATTCGCCGACCCCGGAGGGATGGAGGGCTTGGTAGGCCTAGGCGGGCATCGATCCGGGATTCGAACCCCTGATGGCGCGTGTGAGACAGTGCACCACTTGCCCCTACACCACCTCCGCCCCAAATAATTATTATTGATAACAATCTACCACTGTTTACAATGTTTTTTCATGATGTCGTTCTCGTTCCTTCCTTTTGCATTATCTTATCGTCTTTTCAGATTCTCCCAAGGAACTTGAAGCGTTGGAAGCAGAAGTAGCCAGTGTGATCCGACAGGTAGCCGTATGGACGATGGAGTTGGAGGAGGTCAATGCAAGCCGTTTGGAGATCGAGGTCAGTCTGCCTGCCATTCTAGGCGCAAGAGCGCTCATCAGTGTGGTCAAAGAATCGTCAGCAATCAAGCAAGCCATCCTTCAGCTGCACTTGCTTTTGCAGATCCGCTTCCTGCAATTGGGATCGGAATTGAAGAAGAGCGTTACATGCGTGCAGTTGGCCTCAATCGACTTCGAGCTGATTCAGATGAGACATAACGAGCGATGGAGGCGTTTTCTGGCCGACCATGTGCCTCCTGAGAAACTGCTCACGCTTTCCAAGGTCCCTTCCTGAACTGGTCACGCAATACGTCCCTTCCTGTAGCACCATCCCTTACTCTTCTTAATTACTGTCCTCCATATTCATCTTCAGGCTGAGCTCAGACTTACTGCGACCACTCTCGGTCCCTAACGATCATAGGTGCCAGCTTTTCTTTGCGTTGTCACTATGTAGGCCTAGCCCCTCAGCTTCGTGTGTCGTGCGATGGCCCTTTGCTCCCTCATGGGTCGCCCAGTTATAAACACGGTTAGTTGGTACTTCTAAGGGATAATAAGATTCAGTTTATACTTTGTTGTGATCACGAGTAAGACGTTACGTAGCGATAGTGTTATACTGTTCTATGAGAAGAGTATAGGTGTCCTATAAGCCATTAAATCACTTTTTTGTTTTTTTATGTACTTCTTTGTACCACTCTGCTGATCCGTGACACTTTCGTATGCATTTCAGCGACTAGCAACAACTTCCAGGTGTGCTGTATCGTAGAGTGTCTTTCTGCTGGTTATTCTGTTAAGAATCCTGTATACATATCTTTTGTTTGTGTCCGATATTCCCCTACATGAAAATAAACTTCTGGACCGCCTTATACCCTGTTCCTTGTCTCTGAACCTTCTGAGATACGTCACAGATGCTTCTTCGATCTCTCACAGTACATAAGAATGGATGCCTACGTGGACCTCATAAAGTAAAGCGAGAGCGAGCTTGTCGGTCAACGAGTTCATGGAATGAGGTACCTGTCAGATTGTTAGATGAGAATACCGACTTAGCTTGAAAGCACAGTTCACGATAAAAATGGTTTGTGAGATGTCCTCCTAGGATGAATTTGAGTCCACGCGTATACCATATCTGGCTTTATTACGTCGGGAAACGGCCTAGTTAGGGAGTTATGAAGGCTCAAAGATTGACCTGTCCGAATCCTCGGACGAGTTACACCGGCACTGTAGAGGGTGCACTAATCACGAGGGAACCCATATAGGAAGTTTAAACAGCTTGTCGTGAGCCATGACGACAGTGGAAGGCACTTCTAGACAGTTCTGACTTGATATAGTTAGCCATTTACCATGTTATTTCCGTCATGGTAATTTAGTCCGAGCTATATTTTCACTTTTTTGGGGAACCTTTCTCTCGAAATAGGCAAATCAACTTGCTTTTTTCACTACCGATGAACTATTCCGAACCTATATTTTCGCTTTCCTACTTAAAATAAGTACCTCAGAATTATCGTGAATTGTGCCTCTGAACAGAAGGCACTGGCAACTTCGAACTGCAACTACAGAGCCTCTGTCCGCTTCACTAGATATATTTATGAATATTAGTAAAGAAAGATTAACCGAAGATTGATATAGAAGTTATGATTAGTGCTCCCAACTGAGAGCCTCTTCGAAGTTGGGGATTTTTTGTGACTTTCTTCGCAAAAAAATACAGCTTGGGATCTGGTAGGCAAACTTGCCTCTCTAAATTCCTTTTTCTCCATCGACAGTTCGCCTAGGATACCCTTTAGACTTCCCTCATAGTTGGCGGAAGCGCGCCGACGGCATTAGCCACGTCACTGAACCAGAAAATGACTCAAATGAGAATCCCGCTGAGATACTTCTTACGGTACATTAGGTTCACTTGGAAAGAGGTTCAGGGGCAGATTAGAATGCACGTGGCTGATGGTCAAAATTACATAGCCTCTTTTGTCGTAACCAGGCTATGAAAAATGGTCAACCCCAAAAGGAACTACCTAGGTCCCCTGAGATTTGTTTTTGATTTTAGCCCTACTAGCTTCACGCATTATACCAATCGATAGTTCTGATAAACAGCAACACCCCAGCATCATGTTATGTGCACAACACAACTGTCTTTCTATGTGTGCTATTTGAGCCATTTACTNCTTCTTACGGTACATTAGGTTCACTTGGAAAGAGGTTCAGGGGCAGATTAGAATTCACGTGGCTGATGCTCAAAATTACATAGCCTCTTTTGTCGTAACCAGGCTATGAAAAATGGTCAACCCCAAAAGGAAATACCTAGGTCCCCTGAGATTTGTTCTTAATTTTAGCTCTACTAGCTTCACGCATTATACCAAGCGATAGTTCTGATAAACAACAACACCCCAGCATCATGTTATGTGCACAACACAACTGTCTTTCTATGTGTGCTATTTGAGCCATTCACTACTCAGAGTGAAGTTTGATGAAGCTGATGTTAGGTCGAATTCTTTACAGCGTTTGTATACAGCTCTACAGAGCTACCGTTTCGGCAGGATTGCCTTCATCAAAGCCTGAAGGGAACAACCACAATTCGTGACAGATTCGTGGGATCCTCGAAGCCGCAGCTGGACGGTTTCAGCCGGGATTAGTCTTCACTCAAAAATGCGTGGGAAGCCAAGCTCATATAAATCCTTGACGGCACAGTTCACGATGAAAATATTTCCGAGGTTCCCTCCTAATAAGGACTTGTGGCTTCGCGCACGGTACATTGTCGGCCTCGACAGAACGCTATAAGGGACCAAAACCGACTCGGCTGACGTACACTCTCAAAACGAGCGTGTTATGACGGCCTTGTAATACGTCCCAACGCTTCGTTGTGCACATACACAATGAAGCTTAGGACGCCGACTAATAGTGCGCTTGTGTGTGAGTGTGAGACAACCACACGATTACAGAAGGTGACGCATGATCTTCTAATCCTATGGAATGCAACGTGTGTGCCCCGGTGCACCCTCTACCGCCTCTGCAGTGCCATGAAGACTCATCCGCTGTCCTTGTGTATGTTGACTAAGCTGGCTCCAGGACCCTTGTTACGCCCTATCTAAGCCGCTTTTCAATCCGGCACCGCACCTATGAAAACCATTTCAAGGAACACACCTATCTTTTCTCACGTGAAAGCAAATAAAGCAATGCGCAACCTCAGACCAAGTCGAATACTTAGGGCCAACTTTTTTATCGGTTCGACAAAAGTAAGCGGGCCCACAATCACGAGGAAAGCTTTGGGAGACGAAAACTGCTTACGAACATCGAAACAGGAGCCTACATCTGTTAGCATACCAAGCTCTGCACATTCATGTTGGACATTTGAGAATGATCTCTCTTAGCCACTGTGATAAGGGTGTCTATCAGTTTTATCGAGCGATGCAGCAACAAGTACCAAAGTGAATATCCTCCACAGAGAGCTTCATTTGTTGCCTTACTCGACCAGAACACGTCGATCGACCCAGCGCCAAAATGCCCGGTCGCAAATGCGAAGTGTTGACGACATCCACTAATCCAAGTAGGTTTCCACTGCCTTCCTGGCTACACAGCTTAGGAAAAGAGCGTTTTATTATAGGTGCCTTGCGCATTTTAGGTCCAAAAAATGGTAAGAAAGGACGTTGCACGAGACTGTAATCGTAGGGGGTACCCCGGAAAACGTCCGTTCCGCGCGTCCGTCAGAGCTATAGATCCCTCCGCCCACTTAGCGCGCGTGCTCAGCCCACTGCAATCTTGAGATGACATTGTAGTCCCACTAAGTGTCAGTGGGGCAAATGATTTGGACTTGTCCGTGTTACCTTCTCTTCCTGTCCGGTCCTAATATATGAACATAAATCAGGCCTCAGTTCAAAGCCTTCAGCCAACGGAGCTTTTAGAGTACAGCGGTTAGCGTTCAGCGCAGAGCCGCGATAGCGTCCGCGAGCCGCTGACGGTGTTTGTGTTGGATCACGTTACTTTACATACAGAGCTGCATGGAGCTCTTTTTGAACAGGAAATTTAACAGAGGACTGACAGAGTGCATGCAAGTGGTATTCAGATATGCCGATTCTTATGCCTAAAATTAGAAGTCTCGATCTACTGCTGTTCATCTTGAAAACAATGACCCATTGAAGGTTCAAATGTGTGGCAACCAAAGCCTTGGGCTCATATATGTTGTCGAGTCATAATAACGCTATTATCAAATGTCTCTATCATTGCAGCTTCCATTCTCTACGGATACGTCATTAGATGAGAATCCAAGTTTGATAGCGGTCGGATAAGTTTTCCAGGAATGATATGGAGCAAAGAGAAACCGTGTCCCTTCATTGAGTCACGAACTTTGCAGGGCAGCGGTCGTAATCTAATAGCAAGAAATGAACCGATTCGCATCTACTTATAATTTAGTACCGTTAATCGGACCTTATTACTGCGCCTACCCTTCTTGTCGAATGAAACGTATCAGAGAGTCAAAGTTAGATCGTGAGTAGTGTTCCCGTCCTGCCGCCTGTACTCCTATCACATTTGAACGCTCTAGATCCACGAGAGCAGGAGTAATGAATTTCTTCTCAAACATTCATTCCGCGCAAACCCCACCACTGCAAGCGAGGTCCAATCCTGCCACCCACCGTAAATGTTCCCAACCTGTCGCCTGTACAGCTACCAAGTTTGAACGCTCCAGGTACATGGATGCAGGAGTTATGAATTTCCGGTCGAATACACCTACACAAACACACAGACATTAGCGCGTTACACATAGTAGGATAATATAATATTTACTTTCGTCACATTACTACAGTAGTCAAAGAAGAAATATCAAGTCCATATTTAAAAAGTTGAAGAAAGTAATTAACACACTCAATGGAAGCTCGATTAAGAAGTTATTCACCGCCGACCCGTGCGGTATCGATCGATGACCGGTTCAGTGGCGGTGGCGCGAACGCTACCGCGTCTGAACGCTTGACGCTCAACGCTCAGCGCTGTGAAGTTTTCATGAATATGGGTATTGAGATATCCCACGAGCACCCAAACGTTCATCGTGACAGATCAGTGATGCTTGCGGATGATATAAGTTCTTGGGGCACGCTCTCCAATTCGTTATTTGAGAAATTAGGGCAACAAAGTAGGTGACAGCTCTCCCCCTAACCATTTAAACTGAAAGCCCCGGCTCTGTAATTAAACGTTTTTAAGAATCGAAGAAATCAAACAAGAGGGCCAATAGAACTGCAGAACGTGGTGATATAGTAAGAAGCCCAAGCCGAAGACCACAACGGGCATCAGCATTGAGAGCCTCCGAAAAGATTAGAGAGCTTATGTCAACGGAGAAGAAACCCCGACGACAATATGGTGCTTCACTCATTCTTTTCATAGTGGAGTAACTCTAGTCATTAGCTTTCGCTTCAATTAAAGTCATGTGTTTTCACTGGTCTAACCGTCTTTCAGAGGAATACGAAGTGGAAGATATCCTATCTCACACTATTAAGAACGGTAAAATTATATACAGGATAAGCTGGGTCGGTTATCCGGGCTATATTAGTGAAATGACGGAAGAAGATCTCGCAGTTAGTTCGTTTATGAATAATGTGGGTGGTCGTGCCGTCACTGAACTTCTTCCTTTCCGTTTCAGAATTGCGGTGAACTACTGAAAGAATACAAACTCAAAATGAACAAACCTCGCGAAAAATTAGTCAAAGTGAGCATGACACCTCGACGGCATAGCCGAGAATTCTGAAGAAGACAGTGTCTTTTCCAGATATTTTCAGATGGCATAAATGGAACCAGTCATCGTTTATTTGTGGTGACGGAATAATTTCGTGAACTGAGATAATTCTATTGATAAACGTTCTGCAATGTGGTCGAAATTTTTTCAAATCTGAGTAAGGTCAGAGCACTGATTCACCTCAGCTGCCCCAAAGAGGCGTGAATTTCGAAAATTCCAAGATAGCAGCTCCTCATTTTGATGAAAGCGGCTTGTTTTTCTCTTTGAAATTAATGTACAAATCTAATAGTTTACAAAAGTATGAAGGGAACACAACGTGAGCATTTCAAATAGACGAGGCGAAGTGATTAGAGGGTTTCAAACGCAATATTTGCATAGACAGCGCCTTCTCAATAGATATGCGAACTTTATAAGAACATATTCAAAGTGAAGGGCGGAGGTGGTGTAATGGCAAGTGGCGCACTATCTCACACGTACGGACAGGGGTTCGGATCTCGGATCCATACCCGCCTGGACCAACCAAGCCGTCCATCCCTCCGGGGTCGTTAATTGGTACCAGACTCGCCTGAGAGGATAAAAGCACTGACTTGTACATCGGCTGGCCACCGCAACTCCTTGTATAGGCCACATACGCACTCATTACGCCACTACGATTCTGAATGGAAGTCGAGTGCGATGGCACATCCCTCAAACGGGATTGATAAACGTTAAAAACTTTATCCTTTATTCAAAGTGAAGTTTCAGGTTTCAGTTTCAGACAGTTTCAACCTACGGCATAAAATCCTGGATCGACCGGTCAGGCCTACCAAGCCCACCACCCCTCGGGGAGGGTTAATCGGTACCAGACTCATCTGAGACGATAGAAGCACTGATTTGAATATAGGCTGGACAACATAAGTCATTATATGTGTAGGCCACACACGCATTCAGTGCATCACTGATTCTGGATGGAAGTCGAATGCAAGGGCGCATCCCTCAGACGGGATTGATCAGCGCTCAAGAAACCTTATCCTTGAGTTTTTAACCCAGCTGAGTGTGTCGTTTGTCTGTTCCAAAGGAATGGAGATCGTCACAGACTGAACACTGGAGTTGGTGTACCGTCCCTCGCACACAGCGAGGGACGGTACACCAACTCCAGTGTTCAGTCTGTGACGATACATTGGTGAAGCGGAATGATGCTGGGCATACGCGTCTGAAAAGATTTCGCAGGTATAGGGCTAGTAGGCCTACTCACGCCATTTGGGAGACATCGATTGGAAGAAAAACAGCGAGAATGGCGTCCCCGAAAACAGCCGTAAGGTATGCTCGCGGGGCGTCCTAGGGGAGTCAGACATACAGAGCTGCGATGGCGCTTAAACGTTGGCAAGTTGCCAAATCCTGTATTTAGGCTTGAAAAGCTCCCAAAATCAAGATTTAGATTTAGGATAACATAATATCTAGGAGTAAAATATCCTGGGGGTCTCATCCGGTAAGGGGGGCATCAAGTGGCGGCTCTCACCACCGGACGAGACCCTATCCTGGTAGCCTGAGCAAAAAACCTCCAGAAGTTTTTCAACCTCCTCTACTGCGTTATGTCCCCTTTTTTGCGTATCTAGTCGCTTAGGTTGACGGACTACTTGAACTCTGCCTTTCAATTGCCTCAGTCCACGCTCTCGCCTGCGCTCTCTCGCACTGTCGGCGGCTGATGACCATTGTGATTAACATATTCAAACTATTGCCTCAGTGTAACTCCACCTAAGACTTCCTCCTCAGCTATAGGGCTCCGATCTTACTCCCCTCCTTGCGACTTGGAAGCGCGCCAGGTGCCGTTCTCTGTAATTGTCTCCGCCAATCGCGACAGGGTGAATGGCTTACTCACTAGAAGCCGTCCACTATCCAAGGGCTTAGTCCTGATTGGCTGATGTCAGACTCTGCGATTCGACCGGTTTGGGCAAGATGGGAGTAATGTTAGTCGCGCGACCATCGGCGCTCGCATCCGAATCGCGCAGTGCGAGCGGCAGGCGATTTACGACTGATGGCGCCGAGTTGTCGGTGGTCGGCCTGGTAAATCTCCCGCCGCTCGCACCGCCACCGCGAGGTCTGATCAGCCATTCGATCAGTTAGTGCAAGTGCGCAGACGGGCAGAAAATATGCGTTGAACAGCATGAATGTCAAAAACGAGTGTCATAATTGTAATCGGGCCCCAAATAACCCCTTCACAAGTTTACAGCGGATTTGGTTAGGTAGCGCCACCTGGCAAGCGCCAACGATCGATGTCATATTCGTGATCAAGACCCTCGATAGCCCTCATAGGGGAATTCTCAGCGAAAATTTTATGACACATCTTACCCTCACTGGAGTTGTAATAATGCAATAGTGCCAAAAAACCTTCTGAAAAAGAACATCAGCACTCTACAACTGGCCTACTAAGCGACATCAACAAGATTGCGAAGGACAGCAACATCACAGATTAAATTCATGGGTTGAGCATAATATCATATCGGCGGAGAGCAATAAATACAAATGAAACCGTTTAATGCATGAAAACCAAGGAATATTCAAAAAGGGAGTGAAACAATGCGTAAGCCGTAGAAGAATTGCGCGCCCTATAAACAATTTCGCATTCTATGGTCACGGGATTACGGTAGTCCCGGCTAGCCCCGATCGCGCGTTGTTCGAAAAGTTCTCCCCGGGCAAAAATTTTGACATCAAATGCAAAATTCTGGGTGTGGTGCGACTCACGCGTCAATATAATGAGGTCATCGTACGAAACGTGCTATAAAATCATGCCTACCATTATAATGGGAGAAATAGGAACTTTCAAGTAACATAAGTGAAAAATTGACCAACTATGCACATTTGCAGAAGGATTGCGTTTTCTGGGATCAAAAAGTTTGAAGTTGCTCTTATTTTGAACACTTGACAAGGAAAATGATAATCTATGAAGGGAATTCTTAATCTCGAAGAAGCTTCATTGCCACTTCAAAGAAAATTACTCTAATTTATGGTGAAGCCGTGAATTCATGCATCTTATTTGGTCCATCTTAACAGAAGGGTACTGAAGCTATGCTGCGTGCGTGATGAGCTCTAGTGGGGTCACGCGTAATGCGCCCCCCCCNAGTGGGGTCACGCGTAATGCGCCCCCCCCCCCTTTTTTTTCGCAAGCTCGTGCTTCAGTGCTAGTCGTTACCGTCTCTCTCCAATCGTCTACACCAATTTCATTTGCTATTGGGATCCATGACTTTTCAAAAGGATGGGTGATCATTCCGGGTGACCGCACCTGTTTCGTGTTGGAGTCCATAGTGTAAAGATGATTTGAGCGACTACAGTGGGTGCTTACAGTAATTGTCACGAAATTACTGTCGCGTGCATGCGTGCGACAGTGGGAATTCGGGCACAACGTCAACCACTCCTTACATGACCCAAATGAGTGCTGAGAACGCGTTGTCAATATACTGGGTGCGCTTAATCGTCCATGCTTGATTCAGAACCGTCCGATAATTCGTACATAACTACACCCTCGTAATAGCGGTAGGCTTAGACATGGCCGAAGCACGAAAGATCTGCATAAGTTCCATTAAACGTTTGCAAAACTAGCGTCGTGGAATGATCTCCTTAGTCAGCATTCAATCCGCCTCGTCAAAAGGCATAATGTGGCGAATAAGCCGGAAAGAGAAGTACTCTTCCGAGGGAAAGAATATCGTCGAAATTTCATTACTTTCTTTGCACCATTTGCATTGAAGTTCGATACTTGGAACGACTCAAACCATAGGTCGAAATATTAGTTGATGATGATATGAGATGACAACATCAAGTAATAGTCGATGAGGCCAAAGTGGCACCCAGAATATCGACTGCCACTTCACGTGCTTGGTACTAGTTTGGATATAAGGAATGTTCCTCACGGTCGCACGCATGCACTCGACAACGGTATCGTGACAATTACTGTAATCACCTTCTCTGTCATTCAAACCATCCTTGCACTGTGCACTCCGACACAAGACAGGTGCGGCCACTGCGAAACATCAATCGAGCACAAGACTGAGACTTTATGAAATGCAGCAGCAAGGGAAATTGGTGTAAGAAGCAATTCAAGGGCACAGCCTATCAATAATCTGCTGCAGAATTCACGCGGGAAAAGGGTGTCGAGCGGAATCCACGAGCCAATAGAGTTCTTCTTGAGAATAATAGGCGGGCTTCCAGTCGACATTTCCCAACGCCGCCGGGAAGCCCGCCGCTTTCCCCTTGGAGAAGAAACTTTTCAAGCAGACTCGCACTCGCGAATCAACCCCCCCCCCTTTATCTATTGGCTCCTATTTAGTTCAGTATTAGTTGCATAGTTTTCTTTTATTTTGAAACCCTCAATAGTGATATTTCCCTTTGAAATCTCTCCACATTATTACCTCTATCCGCTACCCCATTGTTTGTTTTTGTGTGATACCATTCTTTTGTTCTGTTGCGGTCGCTATAATTTGAACGTTGTAGACTGCTGTGCAATAAAAGAATTGCGTAAGGTAAGCTTCGTGGTGATCGTTTGAATCGGTTTATACCACGTGAAGTATTTGGTCGTACGTCCTTCAAGAACAGGTCGTACCGACCAAACGAAGGAATCCTCGAAATGAGTAAAACGTGAAGTCTACCGAAACTATTCAAATTAAGGAAGGGGATTATACGAGGATAAGTCGAAAAAAGAGGTACTTGGACGAGATTTCAGCCCTATGTAACTGCGTAGGGTCGGCTACAGTACTCCCGTTGCCAAATATTGTTCTTCACCAGGTCACGGCCTGAAGCGATCTTTGTTTCGTTTTCCAAAACCTATGTAGAGACGTTAATGAAACCGATTTTGAGCCCATATTGACCCTATTCGGGCTCCAGGGGGTAAAATAAGACATGCTTAAGGGCCACAAACTCGTCCTAGAAAGAAACCTTGAGATCTACTTCAACCGTGAATTGCCCTTTTGAAAGAACTTTACCAAATTGTTATAACACTTTTGTGGTGGAGTACAATGGCGGCGATGCAAATGGTAAAACTG